GTCATTTGGGTTTTTTTTTAATGATTTTTAATTCGGGGATTTTGTTGTTGTTGTTTTTATTAACGAGGTTTTAATTGAGGTTTTAATGAGGGGTTTTTTTTTGAATTTGGGGCTTGGGATTCCTGTGAATCCGTTTAATTTCTGGTTGATTTCCGCGGTTCGTTTCTTAATTGCTTTAATTGGCCGATTTTCAGTTCCTCCCCCATTTCCTTCCTCAGGCTTTGATTCCGTTTCCGTTTCCGATCCTTTATTTCTTTTATTATTATTATAGTTTCTTTTATTTCCTGTTTAGTTTCCTGTTAATTTCCTGTTAATTTCCTGTTAATTTCCTGTTAATTTCCTGTTAATTTCCTTTTCTATTTGTTTCCTTCTTTCTTTGTTTCCGTTTTGCTCCTTTTTTATTTCCTTTTTTACTTATTTCCTTCTTTATTGATTTCCCATTTGATTTCCTTTTAGATTTCCTTTTAATTTCTTTTTTATTTCCTTTTTATTTGTTTCCTTTTTAATTTTTTCCCTTTTAATTTCCCTTTTAATTTCGTTTTTAATTTCGTTTTTAATTTCGTTTTTAATTTAGTTTTTAATTTTTTTTATTATTTTCTTTTAATTTCCTTTTGATTTCCTTTTAATTTTCTTTATTATTTCCTTTATTATTTCCTTTTGATTTCCTTTTGATTTCCTTTTGATTTCAATTTCCTTTTGATTTCCTTTTGATTTCCTTTTGATTTCCTTTTGATTTCAATTTCCTTTTAATTTCCTTTTGATTTCCTTTTGATTTCAATTTCCTTTTAATTTCCTTTTGATTTCCTTTTAATTTCCTCTTTATTTCCTCTTGATTTCCTCTTGATTTCCCTTTCATTTCCCCTTATCCCCCCCTCCCTTCTTGCTGGGCTGTCAGCTCTCCCAATTAACGGCGCCGTTAATCACCTCCCTTTTCTCCTTCCGTTACCTTGGGGCCGTTTGGGGCGTTTTTGGGGTTTCTGCTGCGGGATTTTTGGGGTCCTTTGGTGCCTTGGGGCCGTTTGGGGCTTTTGGGCTCTTTGTGGGTTTCTTCGGGTTCTTCTTTGGGTTTGGGGCCATTTTGCTGCTTTTGGGGCCATTTTGTCCCTTTTGTGTCAATTTCAGTGGGGTTTTGGGGCCATTTTGTCCCTATTGGGGCCATTTTGGTGCTTTTGGGGCCATTTTGTCCTTTTTGTGTCGATTTCAGTGGGGATTTGGGGCCATTTTGTCCCTTTTGGGGCCATTTTGGTGCTTTTGGGGCCATTTTGTCCCTTTTGTGTCAATTTCAGTGGGGTTTTGGGTCCATTTTGTCCCTATTGGGGCCATTTTGGTGCTTTTGGGGCCATTTTATCACCTTTGGGGCCATTTTGTCCTTTTTGTGTCGATTTCAGTGGGGTTTTGGGGGCCATTTTGTCCCTATTGGGGCCATTTTGGAGCTTTTGGGGCCATTTTATCGCTTTTGGGGCCATTTTGTCCCTTCTGTGTCGATTTCAGTGGTGCTTTTGGGGCCATTTTATCACTTTTGGGGCCATTTCAGTGGGGTTTTGGGGCGATTTTGTCCCTATTGGGGCCATTTTGGTGCTTTTGTCCCTATTGGGGCAGTTTTATCACCTTTGTGTTGATTTCAGTGGGGTTTTGGGGTCCATTTTGGTGCTTTTGGGGTCATTTCATCCCCTTTGTGTCAATTTCAGTGGGGTTTTGGGGCCATTTTGGTGCTTTTGGGGCCATTTCATCCCCTTTGTGTCGATTTCAGTGGGGTTTTGGGGCCATTTTGGTGCTTTTGGGGCCATTTTGTCCTTTTTGTGTCAATTTCAGTGGGGTTTTGGGGGCCATTTTGGTGCTTTTGGGGCCATTTTATCACTTGTGGGGCCATTTTGTCCCTTTTGTGTTGATTTCAGTGGGGTTTTGGGGCCATTTTGTCCCTTTTACGTCAATTTCAGTGGGCTTTTGGGGCCATTTTGGTGCTTTTGGGGCCATTTTGTCCTTTTTGTGTCGATTTCAGTGGGGTTTTGGGGTCCATTTTGGTGCTTTTGGGGCCATTTTATCACCTTTGGGGCCATTTCAGTGGGGTTTTGGGGCCATTTTATCACCCTTGGGGTCCATTTTGGTAATTTTGTGGCCATTTTGCCCCTTTTATGTCAATTTCAGTGGGGTTTTTGGGGCCATTTTTGTCCTTTTTGTGTTGATTTCAGTGGGCTTTTGGGGCCATTTTGGTGCTTTTGGGGTCATTTCATCCCCTTTGTGTCAATTTCAGTGGGGTTTTGGGGCCATTTTGGTGCTTTTGGGGCCATTTCATCCCCTTTGTGTCGATTTCAGTGGGTTTTTGGGGCCATTTTGGTGCTTTTGGGGCCATTTCATCCCCTTTGTGTCGATTTCAGTGGGGTTTTGGGGCCATTTCGCCCCTTTGCTCTCGATTTCCATGGGGTTTCCGGGGCTCTTGTGGTGCCTTTGGGGGTGGTCGCATCCCGGGGGGTCCGGGGGGTCCGGGGGGGTCGGGGTCGGCGCGGTGACAGCGGAGCAGCCGTGCGGGACCCCGTCCCCCCCCGCAGTACGGCGGCTCCGACAGTTACCGGGTGGCCACCACCGCACAGGACAAAGGGGAGAAGGAATCCCCCAAAAAGGGGAAGGGGAAGAGGGACCTCGACGACCTCAAGAAGGAGGTGGCCATGGTCAGTATGGGGGCGACTGGGGGGGGGGGCAGTGGGGGC